ACCTACTGAAATCATCAGTAAACGTAACAAAGTACAGATAACCTCCTCTAGCAGGTGAGCTCATAGGACCGCATACACACTATGTATGAGTTCTAACAACTCTGTAGCCCTTTCTCCTTTTCTAGTAAAAGGAGATTTTGTCATCTTGCCCACGATGTCCATTGGAATTCCGTTGGAATTTTTTTTTTAAATTTTCAAAAAAATTTCCAACCGGCATCCGTTGGAATTCGGTTGGAATTTTTTTTAAAAAAATTTCCAAAAAAAATTCCAACCGGTATCCGTTGGAATTCCGTTGGAATTTTTTTAAAAAATTTCCAAAAAAATTTCCAACCGGCATCCGTTGGAATTGTTTTCTAACAAACATCCGTTGGAACTCCGTTAAAAATTTGCAACCGATTTTTCCAACGTTAATCCGTTGAAAATTTCCAACGGATATCCGTTGGAAATACCGTTGGAAATTTCCAACCTAATTTTTCAATTGAATACGTTGAAAATTCCGTTAAAAATTTCCAACGGGTGTTTCCAACGGGTATCCGTTGGAAATTTTCAACGGAATTTTAACGGAGATCGTCGTTGAAACGCCGTTGAAAATCCGTTGGAAAATCCGTTGGAATTTGCGGATTTTTTTGTAGTGAGATAACCATGAAAATACTATATTTATAATTTTTTGAATTATATTTATATATATCGAAAAAAATCTGATATAAAATATCCAAATTTGTCCAAATCCGAAAACAAAACTAACTGTTAGAATGTCTATAAACAATTATAAAAACTTTTGTGAGTGCCATAGAAATGAAATATTCAAATCTTGCCAAATTATAACTAACTCCCTAAGAGTCCCTTACCAAAAAAAAAAAAACTCCCTAAGAGTGCTCGACCAAAAGCATCACAGGCATCTGACATGACAAATCGAAAATATAACTATATATCACATCACATCTCATACGTCATGTCATCCATGCCACGTTATATAATTAAAAGGATATATATAATAAAATATTTCTATATATATATGTTACCTAAGGATGCGAGATCTTTGGTGTTGAACATATCGACGTAAGTGAATTTGGTACCGGCGAGGCTTTGGTTGAGATCGTCGACCAGAGCTCTGAGCTTAGTGTTGAATACCTCGACTGCAGCGTTGACATCCTCGGCGCAGCCATTGCCGTCACCTCGGGTGGCGACTATCCGTGGAATGCAGCCGAGTTTCGATATTCCAAACAGTGCGACTTTCCTTGCTCCGAGGATATACAACACCTATATATACACATACACATATACATATATATACACATGTGTTTCTTCAATCGGAACATATATGTTTGGATCTGTTTATTTTGGGTTATAAAAGCTACACAATACATCAACTTTGGTCGGTACTGTTTCAAAATAATTTAAAAAATCTCTTTTAATGTTTCCACTCTAGAATTTATGATTTTACGGATAGAATAGTCGGTTTACTAAATTTCTATATATTTTTTTCACATTTTATAAAGTTTGGATATTTTTATAAGATGTTTCCTAAATTATAAGTCTCTCTTTTCGGGTTTTCAACTCGAGAATTTATGGTTTCATGGATAGTACGGAAAGAGTCGGTTTACTATGTTCGTGTATCCTCCCCAAGTCATTTGATTTTCTCTGTGGCTTGTGTGGTCTAATATAATATCTTGCGTATCCGTTTCATGCATAGAGGATTAGATATGGAAATCGAACCGAAAACCGAAATTTGATTGCAAAAGAAAGAAGAGATTAGAAAATTAGAAAAAGAGAAACATATAGTTTAGATCGCAACGCTGCTCTGATACCATATTGAAAAATAAAATGCGGAAATTAAATTAGAAAGAAAGAACAAAAGAGAAAAGAACGGGAATACTTTTATTGCTACATCTCTTCTTTCTTCTTACATTACAATGAAAATAATCCATACATTTATAGGAAAAGCTATGGAAAGAAACAAGGAAATAAAGATACGAAAAAAACAAATAAGACAAAGTATAATTGATACGATATATATTTTATTCTTAATTGATATAATGCCTTTAATTATTATCAATCATATCAAATCTCCATATTTTCTTCCTATTTCAACAGATTTTTCAGTTTTGCTAGATCAAACTCTGGATAGATATAGATATACGATTAGGTACCTTCAATTGAGAAGTGTATCGTCGGATGAGAATATCGGCGAACTGGTCGGGAGTGAACGAGATACCGGACAAGAACGGTGGAGACATAAAGTAGTTATTAATGTAATCGTTGCTTCCCATGCTAATTGTGTATAAACACTCCTCCAGTTGCTGCTTCGGTACGAATGCCCTCGTTATCGCCCCCAAATGATTTAGTATTTGTCTATTAAATTCGATGTTATCGCCCTGTCATAATATCATACGAAGCATTAGATATGGGTTTAAAAAATTTAATGTTATGTATTATGAACATTGAAAAGATACGAGTAATTTGATGAGGACAAAACTTTTCCGAGTGTCAAACATGTCTTGCAATCATCTGCCTTGCGCAAATGATGAAGACATCCATGTAAACCGAGATGGAAACAACCAAGAGTTTGGAAACGAAGTTATAACTAATAGATCAAGATTCAAGTACCAAATATCCGATTACGAGGTCGCGTGCTAAGAAGCTTCAAATAATATATAATGGGAAGATTTTAACCCAAAAAAAAAAATACAATGGGATGATTCTTGATATATTATTTTACCATATAAAACGCATGCGGTGGAACCAAAAACACTTATAAATTTGATTTTTATATATACTAAATCTATTGCCATTGGTCACGTGATCATTTTTTTTGTTTTGTTTTGGAACTTTACCCCTTGTTTGCCGGATTCGTCGAGGATTCCGGATCCTCCAGATGCATAATTTACACCGGAAAACACTTGTGTCGGAGATGATCCGGCGAACGGCGGGATAAAATCCTTAAAACCCAGAAATTCAGCTGAAACATATATTATAGGAAGAGATCGAGTTATATACTTTCTATGTGTTTTGGCAAATTAAGACACACAAGAAGTGAACCGGAAACCGGTTTGCAGATGAATCTGTGAATATAGAGACGAACCAAGAAAATCGGGAATAGTGCGACCATTGGTGAACCGGCCGGTCGGACCCCTGGCAAAGTCAATACCATAAGGTAAATAGTTGACTTTTGTTTGGGTTACCAAGTCATTATTATTATAGCCGGCTTAGTCGTGGCCATGGCTGGTACGGCGGCGCATGCAAAAAAAGTTCGTATACTTTTGTAGCTGCGACTGTCGGACAAAACCGACATGTAATTCACCATTTGTATTTCTTTTTTACTTAATAGATTCACATTTCAACAAAAAAAAATAATAATAATCAGCATTGCCTTTGAACCTCCCTGAACCATTTTCAGATTCAATTAACTGCGAAAGATAAAAACGTACAGATGAAAAAAACTTAGAATATATTTGAAATTTGTTTCGACCTACAAGATTGAAGGGCTATTTAAAGGGAAAATGATGGCCCGATTACGTGGAGTTTTTTTTTTTTGTTTCTTTTTTGGACAAGAATTAGAAACATATTTTCTTGGTTATGTGAGAGAACGAAGAAGTAATTAATATTCTTACCGGAACAAAGAAATAGTTCATTGGCTGGTTATTGGATTGAGAAAAACGTGTTAGAATAGGCCTCGTTGGTTTCGGCAAGTTCCATTTAATTCACGTGGCTAATATGCATGGATGGGAATATTGCATGTGTGCATATCGTTACGTGTTAATCAGGTTCGATGCTTTGAATATTAAATTTGTATGTATAACCATAGATTCTATAACTAGTTTTCTTTGTTTTATTAACTGCTAGTTTGATTGTAATTTAATAGTGCTATAGATATATTTCCTACATATGCAATAGATATATTTTCTTTATATTGATTACCATATTTTTTTAATATAATAAGAATGTATACAAAGATTATAGATGAAATTTAGTTTATATACATATAGCAATATTTGTATTTTTTTATTTTATATATGATTTCCATTAATCCAACTATTAATTGTTTGATTATAGAAAGTTAAGTCTGCTAAAATTAAAGTTTGCGTATGGATTGTCCAAATCAACCAAAATATTGGTTTTTTTGTCATATTTTCCCTCTATTTTAAAAATTTTCTCCTTGTTTTTTTAATCACCTCGTGTTGGATCTAACACATTTACTTCCGTTTCAGTCTCATGTTGGATGGCTATATTAATAGTAATAATAAATAACAGAAATATATATATATATATATATATATATATATATATTGTTTAAATCTTTATTGAAATCGTTGGAGAAATACTTTACCAAAAAAAAAAATCGTTGGAGAAATATGACGTTATTTAATAAGTTGGTCGATGGTGTAGGGAGACGTGGTGACTCCCATGAACAGACCCTTGGCCACGATGTCGTTAACGGCCTCTGTGCCGTGGACCTTATCCCAGAAGACGTACTTGGTCCGGTCTGGGCAAACCGGACGGTTCGCCGCACAAAGTTCTTGACCCGGTTCGACCGTGCAACAGCTCTTGTTAACAACCGTGAACCCTAGAATGTGACAGCAAAAAAAAAAGGTTTGAATTTTCGCTTGAAAGGATATATATCATATTTTATGAAATTATAGTCTGAGAAAAAATAGAAAGTGATATATATTTAACCATTAAAAAATCCAATTGAGTCCAAATTATAATTTTTTTTCTGTTATGTTCGGTATGATTATCATTAAACAAATAAATTAAATCAGATTAAACAAATAACTAAAAAAATAAATTACGAAAAAATTTTCTACTAGAAAATGAATATCTTTCTTAAATTAAATTATATTGGTTTTACCATGAATAAAAATTTTCAAAAGCAAAAAAATTCACGGTAATAACGACTTGTGGACATGTTAGGATGAAATCGTGTTCGTGCCCACAAAACCCAACTCCAACATTGAAATGAACCAAATACTAGGATTTAAACTTTAGGATTCGATGCTTTAACCGGCGAAATCCAAAGAATTTGTAGAAAAAAAACCATACCAATTTCTTTTTTTTTTAAAAAAAAAAAAGGTATATGATGGTAAATAAAATTAGGATGGTCACCTAATTTGGAGACATCTCCACTCTGCATATCGACGAAGGTGAATTTAGCTCCGGGGAGATACTTGTTGAACCTGGCGACAAGTGCTTTGAGCTGCTTGTTGAAAAGAACGGCGGCCACATTCACTTCCTCGGCACAGCCTTTTCCGCCGCCAAGGGTTTCGACCACCCGAGGGATACACCCGATTCTCGATATCCCGAACAGCACAAACTTCCTTCCTCCGAGGTCATATAGACTCTATATGAACACATATAGTATGTAAGACGGTATTATTGCAATGATACGTATTATAGGTTTAACCTTGAATTTTCAATACGTATTATGTCTCTATAAGATAGAAAATATATGTTACTAAGATTACTTAACTTTCAAATTTGAAGAAACTAAAATCAACATATTAGATATACGAATATTTTATCAGAATATATATTATATCCTCACGCTATTAGAAAACTAAATAACGAAAGTATATCTATAGTGTATATCCCGATAAAATATCAGAAATTCGTATATATCTCTAATACTAAATGCTAAAACTTTCAAGAAAAACTCCCTACATGTGTGAAGGGGTGGATTCTATCGTAATTAGGTTATTATTGTAATTCGTAGATTCCTTGCTCCGAGGCCATATAGATTCTATATGAATACATAAAAGGGTATTATTGTAATTTGCAGTTATAGATTTAAGTTTTAACCTAGAGTTTTCTGCGTGGAAAGGGTGGATTCTATCGTCATTAGGGTTAGACATCTATCAGATTCAGTTTGGTTTTACTTTGGACCGAAGCTAGTTATAAACCAAACCGCATTACATCGATTTGGTTTTGTTTGGTTTTTTTTAGGTTAGATTAGTTTGGTAAGAAAAGTTCCGCGACATGTTTGATCTGTATAGTAGTTATGTATGCCCTAGTTCGTTTATAACGGTTTGTTCAATTCAATTTGGTATATATACAAGTTCTACATTCAATCCGATATTAATCGGCTAGCAGTTCTTAAAAACCCGGGTTAGATAACCGTGTTCAATGCAATTTTCTTCGAACAATACTAACATGTAAACTCTAGAATTATGTTAAATCTCGATCGATATCTTACCTTAAGATGTGTGGCGTAAAGATTGACGAGGGAATAGGCGTATTTGTCGGGAGTGTATTGACGGCTGGTCGAGTATATTGACTTAACGAAATAGTTGTTGATGTAATCGTTGCTTCCGATGTTGATTGTGTACAGACATTTGTTCAGCCTCTCCGGTCGGGCTAATGCTCCTCCCTTCGCTATCGCTCCCCGATGGTTCGATACTTGCTGACTCAAACTAATTCTACCGCCCTGTCGAAAATGTAGAGAATCGTAGAATTACGGACCAACTCGTTAGGCAAATATTAAGAACGATTTAATCTTGTAGATAATATGTTAATACATACATACATATATATATATATATGGGCATTCGGATAGGATTTGAATTATATACATTATAGTTTCTAAAACATATGAGATATCGCTTGATTTATCGCGTTGGTGGTTTAGAATTTTACCAGATGTTGGCTGGTTTCGTCGCGAATTCCAGCTCCACCGGACGCATAGTTGAATCCGATTTGAACTTGAGCCGGAGGTGAACCGGCAAAAGGTGGGATAAAATTCTTGAAACCGAGGAATTCAGCTGAAAATCATACCAAGAAATCACCAATTGAGAGGCATATTGATTCAATTAGGTTAACAGTCAGGGAGTAAACCGAAACCGGTTTGCCGTGAATTTGTAGTAGATAAAGAGGACGAACCGATGAAATCTGGAATATTCCGACCGTTGCTAAACCGGCCTGTCGGACCTCTTGCAAAGTCAATCCCGTACGGCCAATAGTTGACTTTTGCTTTTGACTTTGCGAAGTGATTGTTGTTGCCGTTGTCGAAGACGGAATCTCCGAACACGAAGTAACACGGCACCTTTTGTGCACGTGCCGCCACGGCCATGGCGCCGACTACGGTGGCCAGAATTACCCACATTTTCGGAGATACCAACCGAAACATATTCGGATTTGAGAGAGAGAAAAAATAAGAAGAAAAATGTTGGGAAAAAATCGAATAAGTATTTTATGTTGATATAAATGAAGCCGGAAGATTCGGTACTGTTTGTGAAATTGCTTTGATTACGAAATCTCATTGGCTATTTAAAGGAAGAGGCATGGAGCGGATTTAGACAACCTTCGGTTTTCTGTTTGCGTTGGTGAGGCTGTCGGAAAATAAAAAATAATTTTAGAAAATGAAGTTGTTCTGAAATTTGTTTTTGTTATGATTATTCTCACTATACAATTTTATAGCAAATTCTAAATTAATAAGTCAAAGATAACGAATTTTCAGAAGAAAAAAAGTCTATATGATTTTTATTACATGATTTCTTAACAAACGTGAAGATGGTAACAAACAAATAACAAAGATCATGTTTTGAATTCTGTTGACTGAATCCGTGGATGTGGACGTGCATGCATGCATTCTTACATATTTGATCGTATGCTTATAGAAATGTGAATGTGATCCAATACAACAATAATTGTTCTTACTTTATTTTATTTTTGACCAATTAGTCCACCGATTTAATTCAAACAAAATAAGTTTTGATATTATCCCATTTTAGATAGTGTTAGTTTGACCTAGTAAGCATTTATTTAATTGAAATAAAATAAAATTTGATATTATCCCATGTTAGGTAGAGCCCAAAACTGAAACGGGTTATCGGCCCATCAGCAAAGGCCCAAAATAAAAGTTACCTAGCTAATTGTTTAGTGCATGTTTTCCATGAACAAACAAATATAAAATAAAATAAAATAAAATGCATAATCTACAATGGGTTGAGAACTTATTACACATAGCAAACCAGGCCATAAAAACGCATGTTTCCAAATAGTTTCACATTATAAAACCAATTATTTTATTATCGATATACTCTATAAGATTCTAAATTATCAATATTCATATTATACCTTTCTAAAATTTTCATATTTGTTTTGAAAAAAATAAAGAAGAAGTAAAAACAAACAAATTGTCTGCCACTAACCCACCACTCCTTTTCTCCAGGAGTTTAATTTTTTTCTGATTAAGAAAATTGAAATATTGTTAACAAAAGGGGCCACAGTGTCTCCGCCGCTCTACGGCGGCGCTCCGGCCGCCGGTTTTGACGGCGGGGGGGGGATCGGGC